GAGGTGTTTCCGCCCCCATTAATCTGTGTTGTCAGGTTGAGAGGGGTTCTCTTAATTCATGTGGAGAATTCAAATCTATCCCTAAACTCGAAAGCATTCTATTGACGTAGAAGTGTCTACTGTATTCGCAGCTTGTAACAGCTCGCGAAGGTTTGCCAAACTTCATGAAACAATGGGTGGGGAGGACATGCTGAGCTTAGCATGGTAGATCTACCGTATTTGGGTTGAAGGCCATTTCATGAGGTGTCTGCAAATAACCTTCGGGTTTCTCATCTGGTCTATAACGCTGCAACTGACGTCTATCAATCTTACGGGGGCGAGATGGCTCAGTGGTTAGAGCGCGAATTTACTGACCGGAAGGTCCGTGGTTCGACCCCGACCTCTGCCTCTCGACTTNNNNAGTGGTTAGAGCGCGAATTTACTGACCGGAAGGTCCGTGGTTCGAACCCGACCTCTGCCTCTCGACTTCCCCTGTCTAGACTGAGACAGTCTGGCAGTATTCCAGCCCTCCTCCGGGTGAGCTGGCAGCTAGACACCGAAAGGGTGCTAGAGTTTAACGATTATTTTATTATTTATTAATACGGAGCATGTTAACCCATTTGTCTGCAATTTATTAGTGGGCGTTGGTTCGTTGAAGTCTCTTCTTGCTTCACTGAAATTTATGGAAGGGGATGAATATATCAAAAATCCTTTGTGAATGCCGTCAATGCTAAATGATAAGAACTCGCTTTCAGTTTCGAAGGTAAGCTGAGGACGAACTTCTAATTCTCTGCTTCGAATTGGAAAACGGGGAAGAAGTTTGTGCTCATAGCATTCCGTTACTTCGACAAGTGCACAGCTTCTTCGGCTTTGTTGAGTAGGATCACTGGTACGGGTAGAGTTTGGATTCGACCTCTGGATGAGCTTTCTAGTGATCAGATCATGAAAACGCATTTGACATTTTTCGAACTTCCCTAGGAAGCAGGATACACATGTAGACACGACCTTGTCATCTAGGATGCTCGGGTGGTAAAACCAATCACCTAGTAGAAAGGAGTTTAAAGTCTCCCGGGACTGGTATATGGTTCTTCCTGACCGTTTTCATTCTCTCACAGTCATTGGCCTAAATAAGCGGAATCAGTTTATGTTCTCTTAGCACATTTATTGATTCAAGCTCGTCTTTCGTAATTTCAATCAACCTAACCTAACGCAGTTAATTTGAGAATGTGAATTCGGTGCGGATAGGAGAACTCAGTGATCCGGTGGAGTTGGCCTAGCAGAAACCGATCAAGACAGTCAAATGATTTCGCTAACTCAGATTAGGAATATCACTTCTCCCGCTTTAGAGTATGCTTACTCTACTGAAATAGGATGCCCACTAAAAACCTATGACGGCACAAACACTGAAGACAAAACAAGGTTTTTATTGATCTATTCCAACCTGTTTGAACTTTGATAGACACTACGTGTCAAAAGTCTGATGCGTTCGCGTGATACACTCCTCTCGAGATCATCGGTTTCCGTGCTGACCAACGCAAGATCACTGCTGACAAACCGCTGATGTCACAATTCTCTGACGCGCCGGGCGCAGCTCCCCCCTGTTTCATGTTTCAAAGGTCGTGTAACGTCCAGATATAACTGGGGCAGTTTGTGTCTAACCTGTTCACCTACTGGTGTCAGCTACATTCGAAAATCGGTATGTCAGAAAATTTTGGTTTAATTTTTGTTGCTGATTCAACGAAATATTAAGAAAAGTGATTGTTTGATTGTTTGTTTATTTATTTGATTGATTGATTATTGCTTGATTGATTGATTGATTGATTGATTGATTGATTGATTGATTGATTGATTGATTGATTGATTGATTGATTGATTGATTGATTGATATGACGTATTTTTAACGTCTGATGGCGTATAAACAGATCTCAGGTACACAGTGAGCGAGTCGATGCAAGTAATTTAGTGTGATTGCTTGAATGGATGAACGACTGAAAGTATGGCTAAAAACAGCCCTGCAAAATACGTATTAAGACATCTGTAGAGAAGCATTGGCCGGGGAAATGTATGTGGAGCTCTTCTGGACGGAAATTTCCCTAGAATATTGCTGCGAACTATCGACGGATTCACATAGTTCACATGTTAACACTGACGAAAAGAAATTTGAAAGAAATAATTTCCGTAAACTGGTCTCCCGAATGGAGGGCACTTGTGAGACCCGATTAAATTGGTCCAGCCACAATTGGAACTCACTGTTGAAACTTCTCAATCGGTTTGATAGCTTGTGCAACCAGTAGCTGCCCCCTGCCTTAATTGGCATAATTTTTTTTGAATATTGATGACTGTGCTGTTGTGGTGCTGTTTCTATCCACTTGTTACATATGAACCATTCTTCATCTAAGTGTGAAATCGGGCGAAGCATTTGGACTGATGATGTGGAAATTGATTCTACCTCATCAGTGATTTCTAGTAGTCTTGAAGTTCAACCCATGACAGTTGTGGGAAAATCTGGTAGCACTTTTGAGGTGTGTGTTTCACAGGCAGTTGACGATAGCGTAATGTGCTCGCACGGTTTCACGAAACTGATAAATATGAACGAAGTAGAACAAACACACAGGAAGTTTGATCGATCGAACGCAGAAGAATCCGATACAATTCGTGAGTACAAGCCATGGAGAATATGAAAGCCAGTGTTGATCAATGAGAGTGCAGTGGCGTCAGTGAACGACCTCACGTAGATTTCTGGTTACATGCGTAGGTGTGGCGTGGGTGTAACAGAATATTTCAGAAAAGATCAGACAGAGAAGTATGTGCGTTGATACGCGTGAAGTTTTGTGATTGGGTTCAGGATAAACTAGGCATAGGAGTCAAAACTGAACAGAGCGTGTGTGTCCAGCACCAAAAGCTGTGTTGGTTAGGACATGTGTTGCGTATGCCGAACCATCGTTTGCCGAAGAGAGTGCTGTTTTACATGCACAACTCAGAGTGGCGTAAACAGAGAGGTGATCAACCCTAAACTTGGCAGAGGAATATGAAGGAGATCACGAAACGCTTGAGTGCTGTCGGTGCTACTCGCCTTCCAGGATGGGGACCGCGTGATCCTCACTGTGCCTGGTTGGAGACACTACAAGATATGGCTGCCAACCGACGTCAGTGGCGTTCTTGTTGTCAGTTTCTATCCAGATCGCCTGGGTGAATGTCTGGAGGTATAGGCACCTCGGAATGATTGTGGTAAGCTAGCACTAAGTCCTTTCCCCGTCCACCTTTACTCTTATCTTTACAATAAGGCTTTCGAATAAATCATGGTTGTACGGCAGTGAAACATCGGTGTTGAACACTGATGCCATGCTGTCGATGATGGTGATGATGATGATGCGATGATTTCCAAGATAAAAGGCTACGCTATCTATAAGGTTTCGGTAAAGTGTTCAACAACGCACTACCGATTTCGCTCTCTTTGGTATTCATTAGATAGGCACACTACCGAGTCTTCATCAACCTTTTGATCTCCCTGATTACCAAACTGCACGCCAATGGCGACGCACACCTTCTGTATTAGCCGTTGTAGGAACAACAGAATTGGGTATATTTTCCGACACCACACTGCTAATACGCACACTGAAAGATCTTCCTCAATCTTCACAACATATGAGAAGCGTCAGGAAAATAAACCGCGATATCTCTAATGTCGCACCGACTGAAACATGAAACAGCACATTTAGTTTAAAAACATCAGAAATCAGTGATTCAGCTGGGTCCCAGCTGAGTCTCCCGTGAACACCAAACTGATACGCAAATGAGTCTATCTGTCGTATTTCGTGCAACTTGGGTTCAAGTTGGACATAAACCTTACGGAAACTTGGTGACTTTGTCTACTTGATGAGCCTCAAGAAGAGCGAAACCGTCGATGGGTTTTCAGCAGCCTTGAGAGTAGTACCCTTTATGAAAATATACTTTGATATTTTGAAAATCGTGGCAGCTAAAACACATTCAGCTGAAGAATATCATACTCAAGAGATTCGGCTAGGGATCTGTTGATTCTCTCACCGCAAAAACCTTCCTATTGCCAGTTGGGACGGAGGGTGATGGAGAAGAATGCAACTGCGTGAAGCAGATATGGAAATCACTTGTTTTATGGATCGTAGCCAATAGAAGTACCATCATTCTCCGATTATTCTCTGTCTCTACCAAGACAAGGACCAGCCGTGAACGCTTATTGGAGTTAGGCTAGGTCAACTTTGATGTGGACATCGGTGACTACGTCTTGCACCTCATAAGCGTCCAAATGATCAGATTAATCATGGCAGTTGAGATTATTGTGCTCAAACACAATCTGATCATCTCCAACAGGTTTGATCGGATTTTTTAGAAAAAATGTTTGACTTCCAAACAGTTTGGTAAAACGACACTTGTTACCTTATCAGGGAGGCATAGAGGAGATCAATCACACAGTCCTCTGACTAGAACATGTGCATGGTTCCTGCATACCATACTTTTGTAGCCGGTGGATTTCTGTTGATTCGATTAGTACCACACCCTTGGTGCCTTGCGCCGGTTAGCGTCAAAAAATAAAACGCAAGCAAATAATCACAGTACAGTATAGTATAATACAGTACAGTACAGTACATTCGGTACAGGATTTCTGTTGATTCGATTAGTACCACACCCTTGGTGCCTTGCGCCGGTTAGCGTCAATAAATAAAACGCAAGCAAATAATCACAGTACAGTATAGTATAATACAGTACAGTACAGTACAGTTCGGTACAGTACGATACAGTACAGTACAGTACAGCATAGTACAGTACAGTAGAGCACAGTACAGTACAGTACAGTACAGTAAAACCGCTGTGTCAGTAGTGAATCTCAAAATTGCAGATGATCATCAGTGCTTCTGATGAAGAGCAGAAGCTGCGTATGTGTACTTGCGTGTATGCATGAGAACGACACACAGAAAACAGGGGGTTTGGTTTTCGTTTTCTAATATACGCACAATGAACGCTGGGACCAGCATCCGGAAATTCAGATGTCACGTGGATCTCATGTGAGTGCGGTTTGATAAAGACGAACCTCGTCACAGATCATGCGCTGATCGATTTGATCTACTTTTGATTGGCCTAGGTTAAGACTGGGTCTCGTGACTATAGTTGCCTGAATTCGGGGTTAGTGCGGAATGGGTGAACAACATGACTGATCGACTGTGTACGTGATATGTCTAGGCTAAATGTGCGAATGGCGGAAAGCGGATGAGAGTACGTACAATGTACACTCGACACAGTGATGTAGGAAATCTTTTTGGAGTTCTGATATTTTATTGCTCATTGCATCTGAGGGCAGAACTCATTCGAAAACTTTTGTCGTCTGGCTCGTAAAGTTCACTAACGTAGCCATCAGGCGGTGTTTCTAGATGAACTAATGTAGTGGTGACGCTTGGAGCAGGTTGATGTGTTTGTTACATTCTTGCTCTCAAATTTTAGATGCCTCTCAACAGCAGCAGACGCTGGTGCAGCTGCAGCAATCTGGCCAGGATCACAATGCAACCAAAGCAACGTTGTGTTGCATCTTTCTGCAACACTAGCTTTCCGCGTGTCTCAGGGACACACAATGAAACTTTGTCATTAAAACGTCAGAATCGAAAGTCTTTGACCACAATGAATGAGAAAATCAATGTTCAAGATCTACTCCGCACTCAAGGAGATCGACACGTGGACACAATACGTGTTGACAAGTTGATTCGTCAACTAGGTATCGGGACGGGTACCGAGGGTTTTGAATGGCACGATTGTCAACCGTGGTTGCGGTAAGTGTAATCGGCTGAGTGCCATAATCCGGCATATCTGCCACTTTGTACGGGTTGCCTGTCTGAGTGACAATCAAAACCCAATCGCTGAGCCAAGTGTGAGGTTCGTGAAACACAGTCCATCGCTTTTAATCCATTCCTTTTTAACGCTAGAGGGGCTCCAAAACCCCGGTGTTCAGATAGCCTGTGAAGAAAACCTTGTCGATCTGGAGTATGCAGACGACATCGTTCTCATGTTTGAAGAGAAGGAGAAAACGCAGGTGTTTTTGAATGAACTGGCTAAAGTCATCCCGAGCTTTGGTATGCACTTTGCACCCACGAAGTGTAAGGTCATGCTTGTGGAGTTACAGTCACTGAACACGCCATTTACAATCCAGAGAGAGGTACTGGAAATTGTGGAGCCTTTTAGGTACCTTGGAAGTTGTATTAGTTCTGATTGTAGCGTGACAGATGAGTATGACAGATGAATGCACGCATCTGCAAGGCTCGAACCGCGCTTGCTAACTTGAGACACTAATGGTGTTAGAATGGTTTATCCCTGAATCTGAAGGGA